CGTCGAACGCAGCCTTGCAGCCTTCTGGGCCGCCGCTGCCATGGCCTGCCTGGCCCCCATCCATCCACAGGGCCGCCTGCCAGACAGGCGCGCCTCCCTCGCGGAGGAGGAGGAGGCGACTGCGTCTGCCGCGAGAGCGACGGGGCTGTTGGGCGCTGCAGCCCCAGCCGCGAACGCGACGAAGACGGCCGCCGCCGTCCTGGGGGGGGGGCCGCCGCTGCCGCTGCGGCCCTGTAACGGCGGGCGTCGCCACCGCCGCCGCCGCAGGCCCCGCTGTCGTGGCGGGCGCCGCGCCTGCCTTCTTGGCAGGCAGCTGCTGGGGCCTCGAGGTGGACGCCGCGCGGCCGCGACTCCCCGCGCCGTATCATCCCTTCATCCCCATCTGCAGCATCCTTATCCTCCTCGCCCTCTCCTCCTCCCCCCCTCCTCCCCCTCCTTCCCCCATCCCCATCCTCCTCCTCCTTGCCCTTCTCCTCCTCCTCCCCTCCTCCCCCCCCCCTCCTCCTCCTCCTCCTCCCCCTCCTCTTCGTCGGTCGTTTTCTGTCGTCGTCGTTCTTTCTGTCGTCAGCTTATTCCTCCTCCCATTCCTCCTCCCACCTCCACTCTCCTCTCCTTCTCCTCCTCCTCCTCCTCCCCCTCCTAGCTCTCTTTCATCTCCTCCTCCTCCTGCTCCTCCTCCGCCTCCCCCTCCTCCTCCTTCTCCTCCTCCTCCTCCTCCTCCTTCTCCTCCTCCTCCTCCTCCTCCTTCTCTTTCTTCCACCTCCCTCTCCTCCCCCGCAGCTCGCCTGGTCATGTCCCATGGCGCCGGGTCACGCCTGTGTCGGCGAAGCGCCTCGCGGTTGTCCTCTCGGCGGCCCCATCCGCCCCCCCCCGTGCTTGCTGCCTGCGCCCTGCTGTCGTTCGTTTCCCCGTCGTCTCTCTCGTCCCAGGGTGGCAGCGCGTGCCCCCCCCCCCCGCTGCGCAGCGTTGTAGCCCCGCGTCCTCCACCCACTGGTCGGAGTCGACACCAGCGCGCCAGTTGCCGAAGAGTCCAACCTGCCCTCCTTCTGGGCGCGACTGGTTGAAGGCGCCCATCATCCTCACCACTCTTCCTCCTCCTACTTCTCCTTCTCCTCCTCATTCTCCTCCTCCTCCTCATGCTGCCCCTGTCCTCCTCCCCCTGCTGCTGCTGCATCTCCTCCTCCTCATCATCATCCTCCTCCTCACCTGCATCATCATCTTCATGCTCATCCTTCTCATCCCCCTCCCCCATCCTCCTCCTCCTCCTCCTTCTCCCCCTGCCCCCCCCCCTCCTCCTTTTCCTCCTCCTCCTCCTCCTGCCCCCTTCCAATTCCCCCCCACGTCGTCGTCCCCCTTCTCATCCGTCGCCTCCTCCCCCTCCTCCCCCCCGCAGCCCCCCCCCCCCCCAATCTGACATCCTGCTCACCCCCCCCTTCTCGCCCCCTCTCCCGCCCCCCCCCCCCCCCCCCCCCCCCCCCCCCACCATCCCCCCCCCCATCATCCTCTCCCCTATTTTCCTCCTCCTCCTCCTTCTCCTCCCCCTCCCCCTCCTCTTCCCCCCCCCCTCCCCCCACCTCCTCTCCGCCCCCCCACCCCCCCCCCCCCCCCCCCCCCCCCTTCCTCCTCCTCCTTGCCCTTCTCCTCCCTCCCTCCCTCCTCCTCCTCCTCCTCCTCCTCCTCCTCCTCCTCCTCCCCCCCGCCCACCAATCGCCTGCGTTCCTGTCGCTTCGCCCACTTAGCCCCCCGCGCGGGTTCTTCCGGAGGTGGCGGCCTCATCCTGCGTTGCGCTGCGCGCCAATCAATGCGAGCGCGCATGATGCCCCAGGCCCGGCAGGCGGCGGGGCGGCGGGGGTGCGCAGAGCGCCCATGCTATCTTGTAGTGGATGCCACGGGTCGCGTTCCATGGGGCGACCATGAGCTCGTCCATCGAGCGGGCGCACCTGGGAACGCCCGCCCCCCCCCCCCCGCCCCCCAGGGCAACAACTCAGCTGCCCTCCTGACTTCTTAGTTAGCCCCCCCATTGCAATGGCAACTATTCTCGCGTCTTGGCTGGGCCAGCCTGTCTTGGGCTGTCTTTGGGCCACGAGGCGGGGCTTTCCCTGGCGTTTCCGGCGATGTTCCTGGCACTGCACGTGTATGTGATGTGTGTGATGTGTGTGGTGTGCATGTCGAGGTAGTATGTGCATGATGTGCGCGTGTGTTTACACATGTGTCAGTACGCGTATATGCATATGCTTCTGAGTTGTCGCAGGGACCCGCGCGTAACAACATCAGACGAACATATTATGTAAATGCCAACGTATGTATGTGAATACGTATATGTACACAAATATGTATATGCATGGGTGGTGAACATGTATATGATGCATACACTGCTGCCGCGTGCAAATACTGCATGTACTTCAGTCAGATATCAAATATGACTTGATCCTTTCTTCCTGCTCCTGCTCCTCTCTCTTCCTGGCCCCTCCTCCTGCTCCTCCTCCTCATTTAATTGAATATGCGCTTGCCTTGGACAAGCGCATCCCCCTGCCTGTGGATGATGCCCCCCATGGGGCCCGCCCTTTTTTTCTGTGTGTTCACGCATTATAAGCCCCCTGGGGCCGCGAGGGATATAAGCCCACGCATCATGCATTTCACCGGCGCGGTGTTGCTGAAGCCCGCGGATGGGGAGTGCGAGAAGATGATTCTTCACGCGTCGTCTTGTTTGCCTTTGAACTCGGTACTGTTTCTTGCCCCTAGCCTTCGGGTATAAAAAGCATGGTAGTCGTCTCATCGTCAGGGGGAGGCCCCTCTCGTCCCACCACCCCTTTCCTCCTCACTCCAGTGGGGGGAGCAGCAACAGCAGCAGCAGCAGCAGGCGGAGGCCGGCCAGACCACCCTCCACTGAGCCCTGCAGGCCCGAGACGCCGTCCCACCTCAAGCCTTCCTGTCCGCCCTGCCTGGCCCATCGCGGGAAGGGCACCCGCAGCGGTCGCCGCGGCTGCAGCGCATATTAGCCCCGCTGTAGCTGTTCCAATAGAACCTCATAGAAGTGAAACTTACCCCCAGCAGGGGGGGCAGGGCGGGGGCGGGATGATGGGCTCCGTCGTCGTCCGTCCCGCCCCCATCCCATCCCCCTGCCTGGGGAAATTTTCACCTCTGAACCGGCAGAGCTCCGTCTTCTGCATGTGAGCCATGGTGGAGGATGCCCCCCCGCCTGCAGCTACCCCACCAAGCCTCGGGCAGGCTCAGGGGGGCTCGCGCCAGGGGCAGCTTTGTCGGCGCGCGCTGCACTGGAGGTGGTGGACGAGGAGATGGAGGAGGAGGAGGGAGAGGAGGAGGAGGAAGGAGGAGAAGGTTGAAGAGGAGGAGGAGCAGGGGGAGGAAGGAGAGGGAGGGGGATGGGGGAGGAGGCGGAGGAGAACGGGGAGGAGGAGGACGAGTAGGAGGAGGAGGATGGGGGAGGACGGAGGGAGGAGGGAGAGGAGGAAAAGGGGGAGGAAGGAGAGGAGGAGGAAAAGGGGGGGAGGGAGGAGGAGGTGGAGGAAGAAGTGGAGGAGGTCGAGGATGGGGGGGTAGAAGGAAGAAGAGGAGCACTGTTCGGATCGCGATGCAGAGCAAAAAAAACAAATAATGAGGAACACGATCCGGTGATCACGATGCTGTGGTGATGATGGCGATGGTGACGAAAAGAAGGCGATGCGGAAAGCAACGGCGGCCTGTCATGGTGGGGGCAACAGCGGTTGCAATAATGCTGATGCCGACGCAGCAAAGGATTATTAATCATTATGCGGCAGTGGCGATGAGGAAGAAGCAGGGGGGAGGAAGGGGGAGGAGGAGGGGGGAGAGCGACGAGAGGTGGATGATTCTTGTGATGATGATGGCGACGATAGCGATGAGCGGGGAGGGTGATGGCGATGGCGATGGCGATGGGCGCGACGACGATGGCGGTGACCAGGGGGAGGGGGAGGAGGAGGCGAGGAGGAGTCGGAGGAGTGGGAGGAGGAGGAGGCTGAGGAGGAGGGCGGTTGTGGGCGAGGAGCCCATGAATGTCGGAGTCTCTGCGAAGGTCGCGGCGGAGGGCGAGGGCTCCATGGATGGGCCAGGGCCCCATGGTCCAGGACGACCTGATGGGTTGCTTGGTATGTGGCGATGCCTGCTGTGGCGAGGGCCCTATGGACGGACGTGCCGTATGCTCGTGGGCTTGCCACCCACATAGTAGCCCCCCCCTGGCGTCGTCGACCCCCCCCCTTCGCAAATATTATAGCCCCCAACGAGATGCCCCCCCTTTCCGCCGCCGCCGCTGCACCCCTTACGCCCGCTGCTGCTGCTGCTGGTTGCATCTAGTGGCTCAAGCTGCTGGCCTGACGCACGCCAGGCGCTAACATACTGGGCGCTACAACTAGGCGCTAAACGATGTGCTGGGCGGGCTGCTGCCGCTGGAACTGCTGGTGGGGGGCTAATAATGCGAAGCGCATCAGCAACGACGAGGCTACTGCCATCACTTGGCAGTTCGCTGAAAGCCGCTGGGGCTGTGAGGATTCCTGGGTGGATGGCGCTTGGGTGGATTTCTGGGGCCACCACTCCAAGGCTACTGAGGCCGCCTACCAGTCCGGAGCTAAGTGGTTTCAGTTTCAGACCGACTACTACTTCGACCACGACGTCACCGTGGTTTTCGGCACAGGGGGCTACGACGGCGACGAGCATTACCAGTACTCTAGTAATGGGACCTACCGGCGCGTGCGCAGGGTGAAGATCCTCATGCAGTGAGTGAGGAGCGGGGCTACTAGGTACGTAGTAAGTCGCCAGCAGCAGCGCGGGGCTAGGATATGATGAGGAGGCGGGGCTAGATGAGGACGCAGTGCAGCAGCCCAGACAGAGCCCATGACAGACCTGGTTAGATGTCGAGAAGAAAAAAGAAGAGCGGAAGATATGGGAAGGAGGGAGAAGAAGGGGGTGTCGGGATGATGGTGGCGGTGATGATGACGATGACGACGAAGACGACGATGGCGAGGGGGGCGATGGGACTGCGTGAGGGAGAGAGCGAGTGTGGGCACCCATGGGCGAGGTGGAGGAGGAGGAGGGCCTAGGAGGGCGAGGGCGACTCTAGGGCGAGGAGGGCCTAGCTAGGAGGGCCCATGGGCGAGGTGGAGGAGGGCCTGGAGGAGGGCCTGGAGGAGGGCCTAGGAGGGCAGTACCACCTCTGGCGAGGACGACGCGCGAGGATTTTATTATCAGTTATGAACCTTAATTCCTGGGTGCCAGATGCTGGTGGGCTAGGTGCCAGATAGCGCGGTTAGACAATCTGCTCCACTCCAAGAAGGCCTGACCGCTGGCCCACGAGTTGGCATTTGCCGGCGCTATCAAGAGCTGGTCGGGCGCCTTGTCAGCAGCGATGCGCTGCTGACCGCCTGCGCTAGGGGCAGGGGGAACTCCTGCACCTCGAGCTGCGCTGGCCCTCGGCCCACCGACGGAAGGTCGACGAGCACGAGTCTCCAGCCCACCTCGCCGAGACCCAGCTCCGCCGCAGACCTGGGACCCCTGCTTCCCCGCGCCCTCCTCCGAAGCGGACGCGGCCCTGCTAGGCCTGCCTCTCGCGCTCGCCCCCCCGACGGTGACCCGGCAGGCGCCGCGGCAGCGGCCCCGCGGGCGGCGCCAGCAGCGCGCCTGCCAGGCACCGAGCCGAACTCCTCCTCCGCCTCGGTCATGTAGCGCCCGGGCCGCGACACCTGCCCCTCCCACTCCTGCGCGTCAGACTGGGCCAGTCTGCGCGCGTCGGCGTGGTAGCTGGCACGAATGCGCCGCCGTGCGGCCCACGCCTCCTCGCAGAAGTCTTGCGCCATCCTGAGTCTGACCACGCCCATGTTGTCGATGCATACCATCCGAGCAGCCTCGGAGACGAGTGGCGCCCAGGTGCCGTGCGTCAGCAGGTCGGCCACGCAGGACACGCACAAGCGCAGCCAGTGCGCTCTATCACCAGCTTCGTCGAGCACAGAGACGTCCTGGAGCCAGAACGTGGTGTAGCCCCTCAAACTCCTCTCGAACGTCATGCGCGCCGACGCGGCCGCTCGCCTCGCAGGGGCCTGGCCCTTGGCCTCCGCGATGCCTCCAGCAACTTCGCGGCCCGCAGCAGCTCCTTGAGAACTAGGCCTGCCTTCATGGTCCGGGGGCTCGAGTGAACCCAAGCCCTGCGTGGGTTTCGTCCGCGCACGGGCCTCCAGCTCCTCTGGGACAGCGAGCGCGCCGCTCGACGCGGACGCCGAAGTACACGACCCCACCTGTGGCCTTCTAGTGCCATTGCCCTCTTCGTTGGCTCTCCTAGCCTGAGGGGTGGCAACCATGAGTGCTCCGCGTCTCTCCATGTCAGAGAAGAAGCACCTGTCTGGGCGGCTTGCAGGGATATAGCACCCCAGCTCCGGCCACTCCAAGTCGCGCGCGCTGGGCCCCCAGAACTTCCCGAGGTCCGCCAATCCTTGGCGCAGGCTTTCGTGTCCATGGTCAAATGCGCTGCCGCGTTGCTGCCAGTGCTTGTGCATCCAGGAACTTGGGGGCCACCCGCTTGGGCTTGTCGACGTCCTCAGGCTTGTCCAGATCGAAGGCTGGACGGGGGCCTCCCAGCTTCTCCACCTCAGCGGCCACCTGGTCGGCAAAGTCCTTGTCGACCTCGAAGTCGGGCACCTCCACTTCCATGCCTCCGCTGGCTGCGCCAGCGTCTGCAGGGGCCCTGGGGCCGGCAGCAGCAAGAGCACCACCAGTGCCGGGGGCTTCCTTGGCTGCAGCTGCAGCTCGTTCTGCGACCAGGAACTTCTCCTCGGTCTTGGCGGCGACGGCACGGGCGTCCGCGAGGCTCGCCTTGCCATCCCGTATGTCCTCGTTATGGCCGAGGGCGTCGAGGACCGGCGCCAGCTGGTCAAGGAGAGCGACCGTGTCCCCCTTGGTGCCCATGGCGGCCTCTGCAGACTTGGTCTTCTCGATCGCCTCCAGCTCCGCCAACTTGGCCTCGTGCTCGCGGGGCTGCCGCAGCTCCGCGTCGTAGGCCTCTTGCTCCTGGGCTCGCTCCGCCACGCGTACCTTGGCCTTTTTCAACCTGCTTGCTCTTGTCCGACTTCCTCTGGGGCACCTGGGCCAGCGGGTTCGAGGCGATGTCGGCCACCTCCTGCGTGGGCGGAGCTGGCGCCACTACGGAGAGCTGGCCTTCGGCGAGGTCGCCCTTGCCAGCAGCCACCAGCGCCTCGCTGGTGGCTTCCAGCAGCTCGGCGACGCTGAGGTCCACGACGGCCTTCGCCTCGCTGCCGTTGCCTCCAGCTCACTTGCAACCGAAGTGGGACGACCAGTTCTTGGCTTTGTCCCACTGGGCTCCGCGAACTTGACCCTTCGGCTTGGCCTTGGCCTTACCTTGGGGCTTGGCGGCTCCTGCGGCGCCTCCTCCTCCATTGCGCCACGGCGCAGCTCCGAGGCTGAGGAGTTGGCAGGACTTGAGGGCGGCCAGAAAGCTGGGCGGCGCCTTGGCCCCACACGCTCTGCACTCCGCCCTGCTGATGTAGTTCGGGCAACCTCCGCATTTGCCTGTGCATTCCTACTGTACTGTCGTTGATGTTCGGACCCCAGGCGCATCGCGGCGCGATGCTATGGGCCAGCCGAACTCGTCTCCGTGTCAATTGGCTCGCAAACACGAGCCGCTCTGAAGCGCGCGCTTGCAAGCTCAAGGCCAATGCCTGAGCCAAAACGGCTTCGCTCCTCGTCAAGAGAATCAAATGAGGGCCAATCGAGACGAACGAGGGGTGTGGCGACCCCAATCCCCGACGTTGGGGGGCTTTCGACTGGACTAAGATTTTTGGCCCAACTCTGGGATATACAATTGGGGGGCGTCCATCCTCGATAAACGTGCGTTCGAGTAGCCCCGAGAAGGCGCAACCCCGGCTTTCACACCTTGTCTAAGCGACATGATTTTCTGGAGGGAACTCGAAGATTGACAAACAACATCGCGTCCGCGTCGAAACAAAACAAAAAACTTGTGAGGATGGACCCAGGAGTGGTCCGGGGGGCGATGTTGAACGACGTTGGGCCGAGCGGGAGAGCCGACGTCGTCTCAGCTGGCCCTCTCCTCTGAGAGAATGGAGGCCCAAGCTGCGAGGCGGGGATCCATCAACATCCACTGCCTGGGAACCAACGCCCTGGTGCCCCAGCGGGCGGTGGACATGTACATATTTTGGCCCCCAGGGGGCCAAAGATATCCATATCCACCGCCTGTGGAGGTCCGCAAGAACGATCCCCCAGGCAGTGGTTTTGGAGACATCCACGCCTCTGAAAAATGTTTGGCGGTTTTTGACCCCGATGCTGGCCGCCACAGCCGTCTTTGCAAGGAGAGCAGCGGTCCGCCCAGCAGGACTCGGGCGGGACGGCGCGCCATGACACTCCACCCTGTGATACCGAGCTGCCGGTCGGTCGCAAGAAGTGGATCGACGCATGAAGTAGGAAGGCGCTGGAAGTGCATAAGGCTTACGCCCGCCCCCTGAAGACGAAGGGCAAAGGAAAACCACTCGATCCTTGAAGTTGGTTGGCATCGCGAGCGGGCCGCCAGACTTCGGCCACTCGACAGATCGGCACAGCACGGCGCAACCCGCCGTGGAGGTGGCCAAGGGGATATTAAGCTGGATGGAGACAATCGGTGTAGACGGGGTATGTTAGGCAAAATCCGGTCAAAATCGGGCCATGGACTCCTCCTGGGGCCTATGTGGGGCAGATCCATTTCTGACGGTCCCGGGGCCCGAAATCGACTCCTGGAAACATAGGAATTAGCCTGACGAAGGACCCAACCATATGCAGTTGTGAATACCGCAGTTGTAGGTATCGTCTTCGGCGGAGCCCCTTATAGGGCCACGAAAACGCTGTTCTGGGCAGGGGAGACGCATGCGGACTACGACACTGGGACCTTCGGTGGAGCTCCAGACGGGGCCACAACGCGCTGTACTGGGCGTGGGAGACGCATGCGGGCTTCGCCACTGGGACCTTCGGTGGAGCTCCCTTTGGGGCCACGAAACGCTGTACTAGGTGGTGGAAATGCATGCGGGCTGCGCCACCGGGACCATCGGTGGAGCTCCCTACGGGGCCACGAAACGTTGTACTGGGGGGGGAGACGCATGCGGGCTGCGCCACTGGGACCTTAGGTGGAGCTCCCCATGGGGCCACGGAACGCTGTACTGGGTGGGGGAGACGCATGCGGGCTGCGAAACTGGGACCTTCGGTGGAGTTCCGAATGGGCCCCGAAACGCTGTACTGAATGGGGGAGACGCATGCGGGCTGCGCCAATGGAACATTCGGTGGAGATCCCTACGGGGTCACGAAACGCTGTTCTGGGTGCAGGAGACGCACGCGGGCTGCGCCACCGGGACCGTCGGTGGGGCTCTCTGTGTGGCCACGAAATGCTGTACTTGGTGGGGGAGACGCAAGCGGGCTGCGCCACTGGGACCTTCGATGGAGCTCCCTGCGGGGTCACGAAACATTGGGTTGGGTAGGGAAAACGCATGCGGGCTGCGCCACTGGAACCGTGCAGCTCCCTATAGGGCCACGACGCGCTGTGCTGGGTGTGGGAGACGCATGCGGGCTGCGTCACTGGGACCTTCGGTGGAGCTCCGTATGGGGCCACGAAACGCTGTGCTGGATAGGGGAGACGCATGCGGGCTGCGCACGCTGTACTGGGTGTGGGAGTCGCATGCGGGCTTCGCCACTGGGACCCTCGGTGGAGCTCCCTGTGGGGCCACGAAACGCTGTACCGGGTGAAAGAGACGCATGCGGGCTGCGCCACCAGGACCATCGGTGGAGCTCCAGACGGGGCCACGAAAGGTTGTACTGGGTGGGGGAGACGCATGCGGGCTGCGCCTCTGGGACCGTCGGTGGAGCTCCCCATGGGACCACGACACGCTGTACTGGGTGTGGGAGACGCATGCGGGCTGCGCCACTGGGACCTTCGGTGGAGCTCCCTATGGGGCCACGAAGCGCTGTACTAGGCGCTAGGGAGGAGGGAGGAGGGGGAGGAGGAGAGGAGACGCGGGGCGCTGTCTCTTCAAAACGAGGACCCAACACCTCAGGATGGCTGGGGAAGAACAGAAATCCTCGAACCCAGAACCTCGCACCTCGGCCTCCCCCTGCTGCTCGCCAGAACCAGTGCTGGGTGGGCCTCCTCAGACCCCCTGCCGGCTCCAGACCCAGCTATCTGAAATGGGGGGCGCGATGGGGGTGTTCCAAAGCACCAGCATGCCAAGGGAAGGACTTTGCCCATGAACGGCTCCGCTTCCGGAGGGGAGGGTGGAGGCAGAGCCGAGCCCCGCGCGCCTCCGCCCGTGCTCCTCGCCCCGGCGCCCAGGCGCGCCGCGCGCGCACATATCTCGCCCATCGTGCCGCGCCCGGCCCCGCGCCCGCGGCGCGGCGCGGCTGGGCCAACGTCGCGCGCGAGGGGCGGCGAGCGAGGGCGAACTGGCCCCCCAGCCGCGGGTTGTGCAGGAGCGGCCCGCGCTCAAGGGGCGGGGAAGGACAAGACGACGAAGGCGCTGTGGGTGTCGGTGCGGATGGTTGGACCCCGAGGGGGGCTCCTGGTCGAGCGGGCACCCCGATCCGACAACATGCACCTACTGCCCCCCACGCAAAACCCCACACAGGGGTTGCACGGGTATGGGTGCTAGACGCCAGCTCATGACGGAATGCCTTCCAGCGGCTGCGGCTCGCCGAGATCGTTACGGGGGAGGCGGGGCGGATCGTCCCGAACGGCTGCCAAAGGCCCGAGTTATGACCCCCAAACCATCAGGGGACCGCCTCAGGGGGGGGAAACATCGAGCTGAAATCGGCGATCCATCGCTGACAGATCGGCGACAGGCCACCGATAGTGAATCCACACGCTCATAGGCGGAGTGGGCTATCGTGCCCCTGTCGGCGATCAGTGTGCGATTGGGGCCGATGCGTCCACCCCTGATCCCATCCCCCCTAATGTTGACTGACTTCCATTTTCTGATCATAACTCGTCTCTTCGGCGGCCGTTCGGGACGACCTGGGCACCCTGGGAAAGCCCTCGGCGAGTCCCAAGGCTGGAAAACAGCCGAGAACCAACGAAAACGCCTGAAGACCTTGAAGACCTAGAACCTCGAACCCCTGCGCCTCTACCTGAGCCTATCCCCCCTCCAAGCCCACCCCCAACGTCGCCCTTGCACGAGAACGGAGGCGATGTGGTCCCTCCAGGGGGCTCGCTGCCCTTTTTCCAGGGCAGTGCGCGCCTGGCCGGAGGGCGCGCTGGCGAAGCAGGCCGAGGCCGACGGCGGCGGAGCGAGCGCGGCGGCGAGAGCGGGGACGAACGGGCGAAGCGAGCAAAGGCGAAGACCGACGACCGACGACCGACGACGACGACGACGACAACGACGACGACGATGACGACCGACGACGACGACGACGACAACGACGACTGCCGACGACGACGACGTCGGACGACGACGACGACGACGTCGGACGACGACGACGACGACAGCGACGACGACGACGACGGACGACGGACGACGACGACCACCACGACGACCGACGACAACGACCGACAACCGACAAGCGACGAACGCAACAGGACGGCACCCGAGGACGACGGCCGACGACGACGACGTCGACGAACGACCGACGACTCTGACCAGAGCAACGACGAGCGAACGACTGCGACCGACGACCACGACGACGATCACCAAACGACGACTGAGACCGCTCGGTCGCCGTTCTCCTGATCGTCTGTCGGTCATAACCGTCGGCCGTAGTCGACGTCGCCAGTCGACGTCCTTTGTCGTTCGGGGGATAACGTTAGGGGGGGACTGGCTTAAGGGAAGAACACCGAGCTGGAATCGATGATCCATCGCCGACGGATCGGCGACGGGGCCCCGATAGCGAGTCCGCCGGTTCCTGGACGGGGTGGGCTATCGTGCCCCCGTCGGCGATCAGTGTGCGATTGGGGGCGATGCGTCCCCCACTGAGCTCATCCCCCCTGGCCAGAAGTTGATCCTCAGAGACGAGGGTCGGACGAAAGAGGGGGGTGGCCAAGGGGGATTAACCACTTAACTCATGTAGCAGATTTTCGGGCGCCTCACGGCGCCGGAAGCGCCAACTCCAGGGAGACGTAAAACTCGGGTTCGGGGGACTCGGGTTGGCCTGACGGGGCCGTCAAGAACATGACGAGCCCAAACCGAAATTTGGCGCGAGCCCCCACTGCAAGCATCCCACGAAAACTGGACAGTCAAGATTCAGGATGGGCCCGTTGAAAAGCATCGGCAAACTCGAAATCTGGCGACCTCGAGTCTTAAGTGTCCCCGACTACGTGTCGAAGAAAGCAACTGGCGGCGGGGCCGAGACGGGCTGTATGCGGCTGATTTCGTACCCTCCCTTTGCTGACTCCCCCTTCCTGTCCGACCCGAGACTTGCGTCCGTTGTCGGTCGCCGCCGCCGGTGAGGGAAGCAGGCGGGTACCGACTCCGCTGCTCCCTGGACCTTTAACTACACGGGGCGGGTCCAGCCGTGGCGACGAGGGCAGCGGCAACTGCATCTTCTCCTCTTCCGAGTGGGTCGTCGTCCTTTCTCGGTCGCCGTTGCCGAGAGAACAGCGGCGGTCCGACTAGATTTTTGTTCACTGCGGTTTCGGGTCAATGCTGGAGCTCAGTTTCTCTCTCAGGGCTGCTCTGGCGTGTGCGTGCGTTGCAATGGCCGGGGGGCCCTGCGGGGCCGCGGCGAAGGCCACTCCATTCATCAAGGGTCACACTTTCGCGTAGCTGACTCCGAAACAGCGACTGGCGGCGGCGGCGAGCCCGCCGGGACCTCCGCGATCTGCAGCGCCCTGGCGCGGAGCAGCTGCCCCGCAGTCGAGCCGTCGGCCGGGGGTACCTGCGGGGAACCCGGCCGCCCACCGAAATCTAGAGGCCTCCCAAGGTGGGGGTCCGAGTAGCACTCCCAAGGCAACCCCAAGAGAGTCAAATCAATGATTTTACTTCAAGTCTTGAATGTTTTCCGTCGTCGCCGTCGTTCCGTCGTCGTCGTCGTCCCCTTTCAGAGCCGGCGGCACCAACCGTCAGGCCTTTGCAATCTAGAGTCCCCCCAAACGGGGTCCGAGCTGATGGGGTCGGAGGATCGCGCCGCATCGCCGATGCACCGCCGATGCATCGGAGGCACATCGCCTATTCAACGGCTCTGTCGGCGGTATCGGCGACACCAGCGCGGCGAGAAAATGGGGGCCCACATCGAGCCGCATCGCCGATGCATCGGCGGTGCGGCGCGACTCCCCGACCCCATCTACTCGGACACAATTTGGACACAGGGCTGATCTCGGACCCAACTGAACTCGGATCCAGCTGAACAGAGACCCGGGCTGAACTCGGACCCAACGAAACTCGGACCCAAGCTGATTTCTGACCCAGAACTCGGACCCCGGAAACACGGACCCCATTGAACTCGGACCCGGCCGAACGCGGACCCAGCTGATCTCGGACCCAGCTGAACTCGGACCCAGCTGAACTCGGACCCAAGTGAACTCAGACCGAGGCGGAGCTTACAGAAGCTGGCTCGAAGCGGAGGTGACGCCACTCGAGACTTCTGAGCGTCGCCTCTGCGACAGTCTACAACCATCGTGCTACCATATGAGGAACGCTAGATACGGAACGAGGCTCTTTTTTGGGCACAGCAGCGTCTGGGTGTACGAGGAGCGCTACAGTCTGGGGCGTGCCAAGAGGGGGTTCGCAACGAATGGTCCGAGGCGCGTGCGCAGACGAGGGGGGAACCAAGAGACGTATTGAAACAAGGAGGGGGGGGGCCGTGAAACAAGGGGAGATTCCCTGGCCCCGGCCGCGACATCAAGCCCCCATTTCGTCCTCAACCCCCTCTTGGACACCCCTGATGGAGTAGCCGCCGTGGAAGGACCTGAGGCAGCAGCGAACCCCGCCCGAACCCGCTGTCTCGGCTGTGCTCTCGCATGGAGCCGCCCTCGGCCTCCGTGCCCGACTCGGGCACCGTCCGCACTGCACCCGCTCGGGCCGCTGTGGGAAGCGGACGTCGCACACCAAGCGGATCGCAACGTCGATCGTCTGCGCCCCGCGCCTCGAAGGGCCCACCCTGCGGGGCCTCCATCGGCTTCCCGAGCGGCCCGACGGCCCACCTTGGGGAGGACGGTCCGCTACATCAATACAACCGTAGACATCAATCAAACAGCCCCAACCACCCTACAACATCTCCCACAACAGCCAAGACCACCGCAGCGAACGCCGTGACACCCTTGAAAGAACTGCCAACACAAAAAAGGGGTCGGCGGATATGGCGTCAGCCTGTGATTTTTATAACCGGAATGGACAGGCCACGCCTTCTGGATCGGGACCCGACCCCACTCATGACGTCCACGATGTGCGATGCTCGGAAAAGGATCCATTGAATCACCGGCAGCTTTTCCGCCGAGCCCAAATCCGCTCAAAGTCGGTCCCAAGACGGCGCAGCGTGCCCCGATCTTCAAGGCGGATCCAAGCCTGGCGACGAGGAGCTTCCGGTAGGCCCGAAAAGATCAGCAAACTCCAGGGGAGGCTCGCCCTCCTCCGAAATCGTGCGATTCGGCCGGATCACGCCATCCATCTGGCGCGAAGCCCATCGCGACACCGAATCTGGTCTGTCTCCGACCAAACCTCACCTGCCAAACGAGCGCGCGAGCAGCGCAGGGGGCGGCTCAGTCAGCGACGCCTGGAGCATGGCTCCGTGCAGCGATCGTGATACCATGAGGAACGCTGAATTATCCCATCCGTCCTCATCCTCTTGTGCAACATCACTATCTCGATGTCTTTTGATGCCCCCTTACGCACAGGGACGGCGGCACTGGCCGCAAGGCCTTCGCAATGACGAACGGAAGGGCTTCAACGGCCACGACAAGCCGCGGCCACGAACCCTCAGCAACGGCCTGGACATCAGAGTCCCTACTGAGCCCAGCGCGATCCTTATTTCAGCGTCTTGACATTGTCGAAATGGGCAACGTCCGCGGCGACACCGACAGCGATCCCTGCTCGAGTCCGCCACCGTGCCCTGGCGCACGAGCTGGAATGTCCCCAGGTGGAGGGTGAAAAAGGCGCGCTGGAATGTAATTAGCCCGTGGCCTTGTCTGTCGGCGTGCCAGCAGCGCGTAGCCCGTAATTGAATCAACGCGGAGACCGGCGGCGGCTGCCGCCAGCGAAGCGCCAGGCCCGGGCGTCGGGTCAGCCGCGGCGGTGGGGGGGAGGCGCGAGGGAGGGGAGGGAAGGGAGGGGCCGCCAAGCCGCCACCCTCCGCCGACGCCGCCGCCGCCGCTGGCCCCGCAGCAGACCCGGCAGCGCCGTCCTCGGGGGGGCGGCTGGGGGCGCCCCGCTCGGAGGGCCCGCGGGCCCCCCAGTACGCTAGCCTGACGTCTGCCTCGATGATGGCCAACGCCAGCCTGCAGGCGGCCACCTGAAGGCAGGCCCGGGCCGCAGGGTGAAGGCTGGCAGCCTGCGTGATCCACCCTGTCTTGGAGGTGACCCGAGGGGCCTCGGCCCACCAGCATGGGTGCAGGCGGAACTCGCGCTCGAGATCCTGGCGGGCCGCCGCGAACCCAGGGCAATTGGCGAAAAGATGCCTGGTGGAGCACCGGGCGGCCAGGCACCACGAGCAGCGGGCGCGTGTCTCGCCAGCCGGGGACCGCCGGCGGGTCGGGGCCCACGTGCCTCCGCAACGCCAGATCCGAAGCCACAATCGCTGCTTGGGGGCCAGAAAGCAAGCCCAGTGAATCCACGCAGGAACGCTTTGAGTCTGCACGCGAACGTCGCTCAACCCTTTTTCGTCCTGGCGCCGCGCGGCACCGACCCGCTCCACAAGGCACGTGGCCCGAGCGCAGACGCGGAGAACGTGCTGCCCAATGTCCGAAGACCCGTCGAAAGCCCCCGGGACAGGAGAGAACCAGGCAGCCTTGCAGCGGCCGCATCCGCGCGGAGCGGCCGCAGCCGCGCGGGGCCCAGGCCAGGGCCAGGGGCCAGCCAGACGCCAGGCGGAACAAGACCATGAGAAAACCCGACCGGGCGAAGCCCGAGGTGGACCCGGGTCGCGAGAGCGAGCATGGCATGGCCAAGGGAGGACGCCCAGAGGCGGCCTTGCGGGCCCTCGTCGCCGGGGCGCAGATAGGACGCGCGCGGATGTTTGTAGCCCGGACTCTGCGATCGCACCATGGTGCGCCAACTGGCCCGCGTCCGAATGATGGCATTTTTCACTGAGCGGGAAAAACGCGCGGCAGCCAGGGGTGCCTGGACGAAAGGAACGGCCCACAGAAATTGGTTCAAGACCCAGAGAACCGCCTGCCCCAGGGCTCCCCACCCCCCGGGAAGAAGACGGACCCGACCCAGGGCGTCCACCAGGGGGCTCCAGCCACCGCGCGCCGCTTGGAGGCGGATCGAACTCTGGGGCAATCCGACGGCGGGCGCGGCCGTGACTCCGAGATGCTCGGCGGCTCCGGCCCCCGCCCAAATCTGACGTTTTTGCGAATTCTCTTCAAGACGCAACGCAGAATCGAACCTCCGGGTGACTTCAAGAGCCGCGTCCAACTGGGCTAACGGGGAAACCTTGGCCGACCGATCGTCGACGTAAGCCCAGTTCTGCGCCTGGGTCCTCGAGACCAAAACGTGCCGCGGGGTCAGGGCCAGAGACAAACTCGGCAGGAGAGCGGATCCCCGGCTGGCAGCCACACCTCGTCCCGGGCCAATGGGACCAGCCAGGCCCAAACACGCCGCCAAACAATATCGGGGAACCTTCCACGACGCAGCGAGCGAGCGAATGACAGGGGCCGGAGCTCCCAAGTGCTCTAAGACGCGCTCACAGACCCAATGGGGGATCCGATCGAAAGCGTGTCTAATATCAAACTCAGCGCCGACGGTGTTATCGTGGGGAAGAGCCACGCCAAGGATGACCCCAACTTCTCCGTACTGGTCCCCGGAAGGGACGACATGAGAAGGCTGTGCCAGGTCCTGAGAAGAATCGAACCGACGCATATGGGGCGACTCCCCGCGCCCGGGACACGGGAATTGTAGACCACCCTGTCGAAGGCGACGGCGGTCCAGGGCGGGGGGGAGGCCCCCGGGTGGCCCTCGTCCGGGCGCGGCGCGCGGCCGTCCGCGGCGGCGACGAAAATGGCCGCCACGCCGTTGATAACCTCAGGGAGATGGGTGGCGAGAGCGCGAAGCTCCGAAGCCTCCCACCCGTCGAACCCGCAGCCCTGCGAGTTCTGCCGTCCGCCAAATGGCCTCGGAAAGCTTCCGGCGAAGGCGGGGCCCATGGCCGCTCGGGGACTGGCGGGGTGCCGGCCCCAGCCGCGAGGGCCGACCAAGCCTCGGCCAAGGCGCCGCCCCCACCAGCGCGGGCGTCGTCCTGGCGGGCGGGGGCGTCAGCAGCAGCAGCAGCAGCAATAGTAGCGGCAGCGCGGCGATCCCCATCGCTGTGCGGGGCCCAAACGGGCGCCCAATCAGCACGCATGTCCTCGGAACCGAAAAGTGGCGGGGGGGCCGTCGGAAGGACCATCGCGGCGGCCGCCCTGGCCGCGCCAGGGCCCCACTGAAAGAATCGAGCTCGCCAAAGATGCAGACGCGTTTTCTGAGCCACCGTTTCCTCCGCCCCAATGACGCGGCAAAGCGCGTCGGCTCTGGCACCCAACGAGGGGGCGCGCATCTGTTGAACTTAAGGGAATAAAAAGGAAATCTCTGAAATTCAATGTTTTTTCTACAAGTTCCTCGGTCTTGGAGCGCTGGAGTCCTGAAAACGCGAGAAGGCGGAACAAGTCTATAAAATTATCCTGGCGAAAGACCCAACCATGTGCAGTTGTGAGTGCCGCAGTTGTGAGTACCTTAATTCGGTGGCGC